GAGAAGAGTAAGATCTATCTGAACTGTTTGTGGTTTTGTATGATTCTCTCTCAGCATGTCTTTCTGTCTGCGGAAGCTGATGGCATGAATAGTAAACACATCACACAGAACTGAAAGACCTGCTGAGATGAATCACTGCCACGTGATCTCATCCCTACCAGCCATACTTTACAGCTTGGGCAGCAGCCTGTTGTGTTGTATAACTGACACAGACGGTTTGTGTTTTGGTTAACGTTGTGACACGATACTCAGAGACACTCTGTCCTGTTACAGCTCAGGATCAGGTTTAGGTACCAACACTACTTGTGCAGGCATAAAAAATAAGATCATGGTTTGGATTAATGTGACATCGTGAATACAAATAAGTCCTCTTTTGGTTTCACTCAGGACACGAGCTCCGCCCCCCGGTGTCCTGTGTTTAATCCGCCCCCCCCCCCCCCTGCACTCCCTGAGCGGACTTTCTAGCTATTTTAGAAACGCCCGTCCTCATAGCCTCTAGTACAATTACAACAAAGTTAGCTGACATCCTGGTGTGTCTCAAACAGACACTGAAGTGAGCCCTGTGCCAAAGGAATAGCTTCTTCAGTAGCTTATATCCAAGAATTAAAAGAATCTATTTTGAATATTCCTTTAGAAAGGCAATAAATACTTATAATTATGTTGTGATTGATTGTATATCTCATCACTTTGTGGAGCAGGTCTGTCAACGTTTGTTGTTGTTTAATGTCTTTAAATAAAGTAGCCTTGACTATCTGAGCATAACTAAAGTTACTCTGTTACTGAAGGTTGCTGTCCGACAAGGAGGTGCTTTGCACATCAAGGTCTCCTCCGACTGTAAGCTGGACATTCATCACAGTTACAGTGTGCACTGTGAACCTGAACCTGTCTTCATTCAGCCTGAGGTGAGTCACTGATGCTCCTCTAAAGAAACACAATGATCATTAACACACATTTATCTGCATGTGGATCCACAATCAGGAAAGAAACGGATACACTTTTAACTTCTGCTTCTGGTTTTCAGAGTAAAACATTTGAATCTAGGTTTGGACCAAACTACCATCCGACATTTCAAGTTTTCGTGACGACGAGCACAGAGACAGTGGTTTTGAAGCTCAAGGACCAAGGTGGAAATGTAGTCTGGTATTGTCGCGTGTTACTGAAAGGTAAAGACTCCACCTGATGTCATGTTACATATTATAAATGTAATCTTTTTGTGAACGAATATCCCCCCCTGGAAATGTCGAGTTACTTTAATTTTTAAGAGATCTGTTTAATGTGATTGTTGGATATTCCACAAAAGTATTCTCCCTGTTTATCTACCAGGTCCAAGTCAGGAAATGTCCCAGATAAATGTCCCAGCAGAGAGCAGCGTCCCAGCAGAGAGCAGCGTCCGGGCAGAGAGCAGAGTCCCAGCAGAGAGCAGAGTCCCAGCAGAGAGCAGAGTCCCAGCAGAGAGCAGAGTCCGGGCAGAGAGCAGAGACCCAGCAGAGAGCAGAGACCCAGCAGAGAGCAGAGTCCCAGCAGAGAGCAGAGTCCCAGCAGAGAGCAGAGTCCCAGCAGAGAGCAGAGTCCCAGCAGAGAGCAGAGTCCCAGCAGAGAGCAGAGTCCGGGCAGAGAGCAGAGTCCCAGCAGAGAGCAGAGACCCAGCAGAGAGCAGAGACCCAGCAGAGAGCAGAGTCCCAGCAGAGAGCAGAGTCCCAGCAGAGAGCAGAGTCCCAGCAGAGAGCAGAGTCTCAGCAGAGAGCAGAGTCCCAGCAGAGAGCAGAGTCCCAGCAGACCAGTGGCCGCTCTTTCGGACACAGTTCATTCAAAGAGTGACTCTACCTGTGCTGGACGACCTTCTGGATAAACTCTTTGAGTCTGAAGTGATCAATGATTCTGAAATGGAGATAGCCAGAACCAAAGCCCGAAAGGACAGAGCACGAGAGGTGGTGGACACGGTGCGAAGAAAAGGAGCTGACGCCAGCAGGGTTCTGATCAATGCTCTCCGTGAGCTGGACCCGCATCTTTACGATGTGCTCAAGGAAAAAAACCTTGTGGAGTGTGTGTGAAAGCCCCTGCTAGTTTTGTATTACCTGTAACTAGAGATGTGTGTCAGGTACTAAATTGTTACCGTACCTGATTGGTCAGGTGATGTGGTGGTCTGACCGCCGTCAGCCAGCAGACCCTAAAGCCATCTTTTCTTTAATTTATTTTATACAGAGACATATATGAACATCATATATTTTGAATACAAACCAATTGACATCAGGGGGAGACATATGTTATAACAACTAATTATATTATTATTAATTCTCTGTTCATTTTTTTTTATATCACACTGCCAGAGCCCATACTGTGTACCTGTTTACTTCCTGTCTGTCTTGTTCTGCTGTTTCCTTTAGTGTTTACTTCCTGTCTGTCTTCTTCTGCTGTTCCCTTTAGTGTTTACTTCCTGTCTGTCTTCTTTTGCTGTTTCCTTTAGTGTTTACTTCCTGTCTGTCTTCTTCTGCTGTTTCCTTTAGTGTTTACTTCCTGTCTCTCTTCTTCTGTTGTTCCCTTTAGTGTTTACTTCCTGTCGGTCTGTTTAATTACTTTTTGCGCTTACTGAGATAAAGAGGAGGATTTAAAAGCAGAAATGTTCAATTTGATATGTGATTCAACTTGTAACACTGTTCAAACTGCCTCTGTGAATAAATTCATTATTATTAAAAACATGAATTAAAAACAAAGTAAGCTTCTTCAAAAGATTTACACACACACACACACACACACACACACACACACACACACACACACACACACACACACACACACACACACACGATTACAGTCCCACAAAATGAAATGTGCATTTAAAAAATGAAACGAAATTTCTCTTAAACATATTTTTAGAAGTTTGTTTTCCCTGGGTTTATTTATTTGTAGATTTACATATTTAATAATTTACTTTTTTTAAATAATTAATTAAAGTTTACTTTCCCCCTTGTTTAAATGTGTAGATTTTGTATAATTGAAAACGTACTTTAAGCTCAATTTCTTGATTGTAAAATACCTTAAACTTAATAAATTATTTTATAGAGAGTCTGGAGACGGCTGACTTTATTCTCAGTCATCCTTTGACATTTTATTTCAGAATTTATTTGGAATTGTATTGAAAAAACGTGTTTTAACTCAAAGATTTAAAGCTTTAAAAAAATATTTAATAAAGTTTGTCGCACTTTGAAAAAACTCAGAATACCTCCTTTGATTTGAAAATAATATTTCCTCACATTTAAGACAACTATTTTTTAATTATTAGATATTAGCAGCTTCATTTTATTGAATAAAAGGTTTCCAATTAAAATGTTCCGCAATAAACAACTTATGATCCTATTTTCTAAAGGGTTTGAAAACAGAAGCAACAGGAAGTTAGAGCTACAAAAATAAGACTCACGTAAATAAACTTTAACGTCTTTATTGTTGTCGTTATTTTGAAATTAAAATAATGTCTCCATGTTTTTTTATTTGTAATGCTTTTTACTGACAGCAAAGTTTCACATCCCGTTACGAGTTTAACCGCAGCCTCATCGGTGTTTCCTCGCGTCACTCAAACTAGACGTGCTGGCGAGGAGGCGGGGCTTATCTCCATGTAAATACCAACAACATATTTTTCTGGGATTTAAATGAAATACACATTTCAAATTGATGCCGAAATAACTACAGACTAAAACCGGGAAGTAAAACTATGAATTAATGGTTTGACGAGTGTGCTTAAAAGACGGCAGACGTTTAAAATGTTTGCTGAATGGAGGTCGGATCGATCGAGCTAAGCTAACATGTAGCCGCTCCTTCCAAACTCACAACAACGTCATACAGACAGAAATAAAGCAGCACATTCATTCCATCTGTGGTTTGTACATTTATAAACAATGACGTTTCTCAAGTTTCTGAACAGATATGGAGAACGTTGAGCTATGTGTGATAACAGCTAACGGGTTAAAGCTAACGGCTAACAGCTAACGGCTTACGGCTAACAGCTATCGGCTGCTGTTTTGTTTTTCTGATTCAACGTGGAACGACAGGCTGAGATCCTCACCGCTGATTGGCTTTAAGAGACAGCCTCACGCAGATGTTTCCCTGGAGTTTAACATTAAACCGTCCGGGCGAATGAAGCGTCTATCCACGTCTTTCTCTTTGACTTTAATCACGTAAACGCGCCTCGCAAATAGTGTGCTTTGCGTCCGGTGTGAACGCAGCATTACAAACAAAAACCTGGAAAGAGAGACAGAGGTTGGATCATATTTTACTTCATATTGAGAAACATATCACAGTTTTGCACAAATAAAAAAGATTGAATGTTTTGGAAACAGTGAAAATATATTTTTATTTTCTAGTGTTCATGTTTTCAGGCCAAAACCTAAATAAATTAAACTTTCAACTGCTAGAACTACATTTCCCAGAAAGCACCATGTCCTATAAAGAGAAGACGACCCCCCCGGTGAAGAAGAGAATACATCCACATTTAATACAAATGGTAAATAAACCTTTTTATTACTATTTTGAGGAGATTCTCTTGTGAAACCCTTTGAGTGCTGACACTGATTAAAGGGTTTTTATATTGGAGATATTTAAAATGACGTCTCTAAGGCACAGGATGAGAAAGATGCATCTTTACTAGAAAGTGTGTGTTACGGTTTTGTATTTATGTTTTCATTTTCCACCTTTTGTTTTGAAATGTTTTCCTCTTTGTGTCTTCTCTGTTCCTTCTTCCTGTGTTTGCCTTCCTGTCATTAGTTTCCCTGGTGTGTCTGATTGTCTGATTGTGTTCACCTGTTGCCCTTGTGTTTCTGCCTCCCTTACCCCAGCTGTGTCTCGTCTTGTGATTACCCCTCTCTGTATTTAGTCTTGTCTTCCCCTGTGTGCCTTGTCGGTTCATTGTTGGTTTTTCCTGTCTTCCTCCATGTCAGTCACGGTTGTCTCTCCTGTCTCCCTCCATGTTGGTCACGGTCAGTTTTTTGTACAACCCATTTGTTTCATGCCTTGTTTTTTGATCAGCTTTTAAAATAAAGCTCGCTTTTTGTTACGAGACCTGTTACCTTTTTTGATAGTCTGCATTTGGGTCCTACCCTTCCACGCCATCCTAACAGAATGAACCGACCACCTTTGGACTCAGCAGACTCAGATCGTTTTGCTCGACAGGCAGAATGTCTTGGGTACTCTCTGGAGTACATTTTTTTATACCTGGAATGGCGCCTCTTCTAGACGTGGTAGAGAGGCTGCGTTGAAGGAGGCACGTCAGGAGGTTGCTCGCCAGCCCTGGCTTAGGAGCATGTTGCCTGAGTGGCTACAACTTTTCACAAGTAGTCCTGAGGACTTGTCCGAAGCCTCTAACCCTTTCCTGGGGTATGACCAGGCCTGGGGAGGCCCACAGATCCTCCAAAGAATCTCTAGGAGACGCAAGACCAAGGTTCCAGCCCGTGCTCCAGTGGTTCCAGCTCCATTCTCTGGCCCTTTTTTGGGATCCCGCCTGGCGTTTGGAGGTCCACGGAGCCTCCAGGGGGCCTCGGAGAAACGCAAGGTCGGGAGGCCGGCTCGTGGTCCAGTACCGGCCCACACAGCCATGGATCCGTGCACCAGTACCGGCCCACACAGCCATGCTTCCGTGCTCCATTACCTGGCTCACACAGCCAGGGTCCAGGCTTCTGTTCCGTGCCCAGCAGCCATAGTCACTGCTCCAGAACCGGACCTTACAGTCATGTTTCCGTGTTCCAGTGCCGGTCCACACAGTCATGGTACCGTGCTCCAGTACCATCCCACACAGCCATGGTTCCGTGTTCCGGTTCCGTGCCCAGCAGCCATGGTGCCTGCTCTAGTACCGGCCCACACAGCCATGGTTCCGGCTCCAGAACCGGCCCATACAGCCATGGTTCCAGCCCCAGTTCTGGCCCCAGCAGCCATGGTTCCGGCCCCAGTTCTGGCCCCAGCGGCCATGGTTCCGGTCCCAGCAGCCATGGTTCCGGCCCCAGCGGCCATGGTTCCGGTCCCAGCAGCCATGGTTCCGGCCCCTGTTCCGGTCCCAGCAGCCATGGTCCCGACTTCAGTTTCGGCTCCAGTACTGGCTCCCCGGCCGACGCCAGCCCCCCGTGTCCTGTCGGTGGTCCGGCCGACTCCAGCACCTCGTGTCCTGTCGGTGGTCCGGCCGACTCCAGCACCCCGTCTCCTGTCGGTGGTCCGGCCGACTCCAGCACCTCGTGTCCTGTCGGTGGTCCGGCCGACTCCAGCACCTCGTGTCCTGTCGGTGGTCCGGCCGACTCCAGCACCTTGTGTCCTGTCGGTGGTCCGGCCGACTCCAGCACCTCGTGTCCTGTCGGTGGTCCGGCCGACTCCGGCCCCCCGTGTTTTGTCGGTGGTTCGGCCCACTCCAGCCCCTCGTGTTCTGTCGGTGGTCCGGCCGACTCCAGCACCCCGTGTCCTGTTGGCTCTAAGGCCGACGCCTACCCCATGTCCTGTGATGTTGGAGGTCCCGCCGACTACTCTTCTGCCGGGGGTCCTGCCAACCCTATGTCCTGTGCCGTTGGAGGTCCCGCCGACTACTCTTCTGCCGGGGGTCCTGCCAACCCTATGTCCTGTGCCGTTGGAGGTCCCGCCGACTACTCTTCTGCCGGGGGTCTTGCCAATCCTATGTCCTGTCCCGTTGGGGGTCCCGCCGACTACTCTTCTGCCGGGGGTCCTGCCAACCCTATGTCCTGTGCTGTTGGAGGTCCCACCGACTACTCTCCAGCCGGGAGTCTTGCCAACTCCATGTCCTGTCCCATTGGGGGTCCCGCCGACTACTCTTCTGCCGGGGGTCTTGCCAATCCTATGTCCTGTCCCGTTGGGGGTCCCGCCGACTACTCTTCTGCCGGGGGTCCTGCCAACCCTATGTCCTGTGCCGTTGGAGGTCCCGCCGACTACTCTTCTGCCGGGGGTCTTGCCAATCCTATGTCCTGTCCCGTTGGGGGTCCCGCCGACTACTCTTCTGCCGGGGGTCCTGCCAACCCTATGTCCTGTGCTGTTGGAGGTCCCGCCGACTACTCTCCTGCCGGGGGTC